GTGACATGTGCGGGATTCAAGCAGGATGGTTCTCGAGGACGGTCCCGCATCCTTGACTAGAAGCTACTGGAGCAGGCTTGCAACTCTAGAGTCCCTGTATCAGGATCGCCAAAACAAGGAGTGCCAAGATTGGATTTGCATACGGACGTTTCACAGGACGTGCCCGGTCATTTTGGCTTTGATTCAAGCTTGCGGTGAGATTGTGACATCCTTGTTGGCTTAATGCGGGGGAGTGATTGGCAAAGGCCCCCACCCCCCAAACAAAATCAACAAAATGGGGGGGGGGGATCAACAGGGACAAACCTGGCAACAAAATGGGGGTCAGACAGGGGCCTGCCCAAGTAGTCTTTCGGTAGAATTATTGACAGCACTTCAACAAACTCTGCCGCTGGTTGGTGGGGCTGGTGGCTAGTGGTACATGGTAAGGTTGGTGGTGAGGCATAGAGCAGGTTGGATGCAAACAAGCTCAGACATGACCACCCCCAAAACCTGTTTCTTATCCAACCTGGTTTCTTTTCCACCTGGAAAACATTCCAGGCAATGGTGGCCCCATTTTGTTGTGTATGTCCTACCCTTGTTACTTATTGCTGTTCAGGTGAGGGAATAACTTCCGGAGAAAAAGAAACATGTGTATTGACTCCCCATTTATTAATCCCTACCCAACTTTACTCGCCACCTGACTAATTCAAGTTCCTAAGATAGTCGAAACACCTTGTTTGCATACATATGGTCAAATTCCCACCAACGGACAACTCTGTTTCCGACTCCGAATCGTCTGCGAGAAGGTGAAAACGCATCATTGAGCAAGTTCCCATGCCAGCGGCTGCTTCATGGTTCCACCAAAACGTGTCCCAAAATAGATGCTCCCAAGTGGGGCCCAGGTTTATGGCATACGTTGTTTTGTGTCCCTCTAGGAAACAAACAAAAAAAGAAGGACCGTCTAAGTCATGCCATGTCACTTCTCCCCGCGGTTCTTCTCAGGCACACGGTCCCAGAGTGACCGGGATCGCCTTAGCTCGCGTTGGTTCACTGTCCAAAAGCTTTTGAATGTGAGAAATCCCTTGGCACTCGGTCAAATGACGCCACCAGGAGTCCTCGTGCGTCATGCAACGTTCCGTTGCGGAACCATGTGGTAAATATATGGCTGCATATTCCACCTGGAGCTGAAAAAACCTCACAGCTGAGGTGTTTGGTGGCTATTCTCTAGCCTGTTGAAAGGCACGATGCCAAAGACGAACTTTCAGGTTCCGTATTTTTCAGCGACCATAAACCCACCCTAAATCCATGGGAAACCCCCAAGCCCACCAAAACGCATCCCAGTTTTGCCAGGCTTTTGCCAAGGTGCGGGCGACCCTGGTATACAGGCTTGCGGGTATCTTTGGGCATCCAGGCCCACCTCAGAGCGAAAACGGCTGGGTCACAGGAGGAACTGATCCATGGGCACTACTCCAATACGGTTGGTAGACTCCTGCTTTGTTGCGAGAGGGAAAGAACAGATCCAAACAGATCAAAATGATATGTGGCAACAATCCAAACTGATCCGAATGAACAACCTCAAATCTAAACCTGAAGCGAGCAAGAAGTAGAGGCAGCAGAAGTGGAAGTAGATGTAGGAAAAGTAGAAGTGAGTAGGCGTGCAGAAGTGGAAGCAAGCATGGCGGCAGCAGCAGCAGCGGCACCACCAGCCGCACTGACAGTGGCAGCAGCAACCGCTGGGCAGCGGCAGCACCAGCAGCAGCCGCACTGACTCTGGCAGCAGCAATCGCTGGGGCAGCAGCAGCAGCAGCCGCACTGACAGTGGCAGCAGCAATCGCTGGGCAGCGGCAGCAGCAACAGCAGCAGCAACAGCAACAGCAGCAGCGTAGCAGTAACGTAGCAGCAAACATCAAAGAACATGTTCAGTGAGTATGGTTCACGTACCTCGGCCCCGGGCGTGGGCCCTGTGTCTTCGTGCTCTTCGAAGTGCTCCTGGTTATCGTTGTTCAAACCTGAACGCACGCGTCACCATGCCCGGGTGCAAAAAAAGGAATCGAAGGCTCAGGGCCGAAGTGAAAACACTTGGCACTCCACACAGATTCTATTTTCGAAGCGGCCCCATATGGGTCCAATAATCACAGCTTGATGATGGCTCATTTGGCGGAGTTTCAACCCAACGAGATTTCGGCACTGTTCCTCGGCGAATGGACTTGATTGCCCCCCACATGTGTTTCTGTTTGCGCGCCTGTGCGTGTGAAGTGAGAGGAAGTGAGCTTTGCAGTTTGTTTGATTCTGGTCAACGGTTTGATCGCTTCTCCCACATTTTGCAGTCAAGCTCTCTGCAAGGTCATCCAACCGTGTTCCCATTGCTTCCCACCAAAGTCGCCATTGACTAACTGTGAAAGCATGGCTATCCTGAAACAAGCTGAGAACGGAGACAAAAGCCCCTCGCATGAGGTCGGGGTGCAAATGCGCAAAATCTGTTTGCAGAGTACGCTTTTAAGGACGTGAAGCAAAGTCAAAGGGAACTCAAAGGGAAACCAACCATTTTTGGGGGGTTGCCCCATGAGACAAACCCAAACGGCTCTTCATTTCGAAGCGGCTGGCATCGTAGACCGAACGCTTCTCCGGGTCTCGCAGCACGTCGAAGGCGCCTGAAGCAGCATATCTATCGTTCGGGTAGGGTGTCTCGTTTTTGCTCCCCCAACAGATGAAAGCTCCAAACTTTGCTTCGGAGTGGTTCGGAGTTGCTGGGGACACCACCTGGGCTTGTATGGCTTATTTGGTACTCGTTTCGGGAGGGAAACAACTATTTGTTTGCAGGGGATTCCATTTGAGATAACCCCATATGCCAGAACAACCGAGACCTTTTGTTGGGTTCTGCTCAAACGCACACCAACACTAGTTGCCAAGCATTTGGTGACCCTGATTGGACACGTGGCCATTCTGAGACTACTCTTGGGGGAGGATGGTTCGCCACCAAGGATCCTTATTCTTACAGTCTTATAGTGGATCATATATATATATATATATGTGTAATGAGTATTATATATATATATAATATAATTATATAAACAATGACCTAAGCTAGGTCTGCTGACCATGGCGCAGAGTTTGTTTGGGATAGCTGCCACAATTGAATCCCGAAAGGTGTTCAAGTGGACTGCGGCTTTCCAAAAATCTGTGTGGCGATATGATGACCCCACTTTTTCGAGTCGGTCAAACAACAAAAGATCTGCTCGGCGTGCCAAAAACCAGGCGTGCATCAGGCCTACCGTGTCCCACTGCAATTGGAACACTGGTGGATTTCTGAAATGGTGGTTGCAGTGTTGCAACAACTCCATGCCACCCCACCACCCATCTCTGCAGCAAAGACGCTGTTCAACAGCATGCTCATCTCCTGCAAGGCTCAAAGGCTTGTGAGCGAGAGTGACCTGGTTGATCCGGTGAAAGCCATAAATCCAAGCACCCGCAGAAGCAATCCCATGAAACAAACACGCATGCATGGGCAAACTTGTGCGAGCAACCCCAGATGATCGCTTCTTTGCTCCGTGAGCCCACGAATCCTTCCTAGACCTCTCGCCTCGAATCCAACCACCTTCAAATCCACTGCACACGACTTGCTCAGAAAGGTGCCAATGTCCGTGTTGAAAAGAGCAACTCCCTGACTAAAATGAGACTTGGAACTGGAACCACGTGGCTGGGGAAATGGAGATGGGTTTGTCGGGCTCTCAAATTTGAAACCGCCCAGACAGGCGCACCATCAAAAACAGACGGCACGCCCATAGCTGTGATTCGCCACTCTGAGCCAACAGAATAACGCTCCTGAGCCTCGACACCCGCGACGTCAGGATGCACCACCTTCCTGTGCCAAAGGTCGTAAGCAGAGGAAACAAGGGAAATCCGAAGAACGCGGTCTGAGGGGACCTTTGGCTTTCCTGTCTTTTTCTTTCAACTTGGCTGCCCTGCTTGTACTTGGCTGAATGGGAAGTAGTTCACCAGGATATGCCCCACCCTTTACGAAGCAGCCTTGGGAGGAGCAAGCAAAGCAGAAATCTGCACGACTTCTCCCTAAGTTCCGATGTTGGAGAATGGGGGCCCCAGTGGCTGCTCCTAGCACCAACAGATCAAAGGCCAAAAGATCAACACGGACATATTCAGGCGGCGAGTGCAAGAAATACGGGCCATGTCCCGCTCAGAAATGATGAGATTGCGGACCAAAGAGCAAGATATGCCTTCAACAGCAACAATTGGTTCCCCAAATACTGCAACGACAAACCCTGATAAATCCAGGGTGAACACGGAACCACAGTCCGAAAAAAATTGAGCGGCCCAGTTCAGATGTTGTCAACAGCGACTGTCATTTCGCCTGCCCTCAACTTAGGAATCCCTTTTGGTGACCAAAGAACAAACCCCCAACCCCTGATCGAAGGGGTTCTCTCCCACATTGACTCAGCGCGAGATGATCTCCAAGGCGCTGTTTCGCCAAATAGGCCTTGCGGATGGTGTGAGTGTCTGCGCGATGGTCAACCTCAGGAAAAACACTGGGACTGACACACCTATGGGTGTGTTTTGGAGTTGGTATCCCTTGTTTTCTGGCTTGTAAAGGGAGATGAAACGGAAAAAACGCTATATCTTGAGGGGGTACCCGGAAAAAAGACACACACACACACACACACAAACACATGTGGCAATTCAACATATGGACGTCTTAGCACCAGCACCAGCAGCACCACTAACAGATATTCACGTTTCAAACACGGGCACGCAAGCGACGCGGCAGACGGAAACCAGCCACTGGAACACGCGCACACACACATGCCACAAGAAGACCCTGCACAATTCGAACAAATAAAGCTTAGCCTCGCAATATTTCACAAGCCTGAGAGCCCTGAGTTGTTGTGCCGCAGTGACCAAAATGATGGTGCTGAGGTTCGCCACGCGTCGAATCAAATCTATATTCGAGGTATCCAGGGGGCCATTCATGGGTATGTGTCAAAAGAGGCGGGCCAAAGAATTGGTGGCTTCCTGTCGGCTTCGCTCTAAAAACCTCGCGAAAAGGGTACCGTTTTGCACAAATCGATCGTCACCTGGCCCGTTCTCCGATCTGCGCTTTGCAGGCGGAAGAAGTGCGGCTGCTTTGGCCGGGAGCTGAATGTCTTCAAACATCAGCTGGCACCTCATCGCTTTTCTAAGGTTCACTGCTGGCTCAAAGGCAGCTGCTCGGCAGGCAAAGGCTTGCCAAAGCCCGTCATAGTCTGGCCGTACAGCTTGGCCTTGGGTGGCGTCAGGGAGAGATGGGGGTCAAAGAGCGTGGGTTCAGCCTGGAGCTTCCTGGGCTAAGTTTGAGGAACCCCCAAAGAAACGTTAACATCTCATGGCGGCCCACAAGCCGCAACAAAGGCTGCGAGAGGCCAACTGGACCCAGGAACTTACCATGAAGCAAGGCGTTCCCCACCTACCATTGTCCAGTCGGCTGGTAGGGACCTGTGGCTTGCTTCACTGACCAAACATGTTCAATGGGTCCACGGGGCTCAACGCACCCAAATGCACAACTTCGAAGAGGATCCTTCAAAGCCGTTCTCCGGCTCAAAACGAAACTGCCAATCTCTTGGATCTCGTTTTCAAGCACTCCTTTGGCGCTGGGCGGCAGTGATGTACTGGCAGCCGATGATCGCTACTGCGACCACGAGCTGGTGCTCAAACTTCTCAATGATGCGCACGGACGCGGGGATCAGGCACCCCAGCAACCAAACCGCCAGCATACCTTGGCCGTGAGGTTGCACGAGCCAGGGCAAGTTCGCCGGGCTCCGGGGCCCCCCCTGGTTGATTTTGATTTGGGGGGCGGTGTCCCCTTTCAGTGGGGTTTGTCGCCTGAGAGCCTGAGGGGCAACCCTCCATTCAAAATAGGACGAGTTCTACTTAGATCCGGGGTCAATACACGCGAACTCTACGTTTGCCCGCAACGCTCCCCTTTCAGCTCGGCGGCTGCGGATGTGGCGCTTCAGCGCCTCGTCCCGCAGCTGCTGAAGCTCCAGCGCGGCAGCGCCCTCCGCCTCCTCCAGCCTCTCGCCGCAAATGTTCACCGCCCAAGGAACCAAATCCCCTCTTGGTGATTCGGCGATTCATTCCTGCGGTTTTGGAGGGTGCCCCTTTTTTTGGGCTGAGCTCACGGAGAATCGCATTGTTTTTCGGGCGGGAGTCCCTGAATCCGCCGAGATGTGGCGGCGTGTCGGACACTTAAGAGAGGATAGAGGATAACCCCCCCTTAACCCCGACGTCAAATACGCAGGGTTTTGGGGGGGGAGGGGGGGGTGGGGGCGGGGGGGCGGGGGGGGTGCCCAGTCATCGAGCCAACTCAGGGGGGACGTGACGCTGCAATGCAGGGAGAGAGAGGGAGACACAGAAAGACAGAGAGAGAGAGAGAGAGAGAAAGAGAAAGAGAGAGAGAGAGAGAGAGAGAGAGAAAGAGAAAGAGAGAGAGAGAGAGAGAGAGAGAAAGAGAGAGAGAGAGACACAGAGAGCGAGAAAGAGAGAGAGAGAGAGAGAGAGAGTGAGTGAGTGAGTGAGAGAGAGAGAGAGAAAGAAAGAGAGAAAGAGAGCATGAAAAAGACAGAGAAAGAGAAAGAAAGAGAGAGAGAAAGAGAGAGAGAGAGAGAGAGAGAGAGAGAGCGAGAGAGATGGAGATAGAGATGGAGATAGAGAGAGACAGAGAGAGAGAGGGAGACTGAGGAGAGAGAGGCTTGGGGGGGATGGGGAGGATGAGGAGCAAAGGGAGGGAGAGAGGACGACAGAACACACGGGGGCCGTCCGTTCATTTGACGGCCCGTGCGGGTCCCTGGCAGAAGGCCAGTTTGCCAGGATTGAGTCTGAGAGGTCGCCTTGCGAGTTTGCCGTCCCCAACATGGGTAGGTATGGCAAAGGGACAGACCCACGTGCAAACCAAAAAGGGGTCCATTTCGCAAGAGATTCCATTCCACTACAAAGAGTTCTTTGGATTCCATGTTGATCTGGGGAGCAGCTGAGAGTTGTCTTTTGGTATGTCAAATGGGTTTGCTTCAGCATAGGACAAAGCCGGAAATGGTCAAGATCATTTCGCATTGTTTTCCTCCTGCGCAAACATGACATGGGGACAAAATGCCAAACCGAGTAGAAGGTGCGGCAAAAGGGGTGAGGGTCCCGCGCCCAGTTGAGGTCAAGCGTGCGGCAGCCCAGGGATCCAAAACGGTCCGAAGTTTTGCCAAACCAAGCTGCTCAACCATCGTTTTGAGACGGAAGCACAGAAAGCCGAAACAATGATCCTGAAATGAGGAAGCAAGCTGCGATGGCAAGAACTCTTTGGCCGGAAGTCGGCGTACGGATTCCCATCATCTCTCACTCGCCAACCGATTGAGAACGTGATGAAGATGCATACTATGTATTATCTCGCTTCTTAGGTCCATATGGGTGTGTGTGTGTGTGCGCGCGCGCGTGCACGCGCGCGTGGGCGCGCGTGGGCGCGCGTGGGCGCGCGTGGGCGCGCGT